TAGTGAAATTCACTCTTCCATGGGAGCTACTTAACATCCTAAATATATTAGCCCATAGTAATAAAAATATATGGGGATTCCAAAGGATCAAGGTTAATGGACTCCATCGCATTTGTTAAAATAGCAAAGGGCAAAGATATCTGGCCAGTGAGTATACAGGGTCAAGGGCCAATGTTATAAGCCAAAATGACTCCAAATCTTATATATCAGAGAGTTATAAATACAAGGGCAAAATTTATTTAAACTAATAAGGATGAAATATAAGAGATATCTTTGTTAACACAAAATGATATCATCTCAAATTTGACACGGTAGTAAATTTAGTACCTAATAAATGAAAATAGGAAAACTGGGGATGTGTTTTTGCCTGGAATTCATCAGGGTTTAAATAAGTAGAGAGGGAACATTTTGACAATCTCTTAAAATATTCTGAGTCATGCATTGCTTTTTGCTGGTGATACAATGAGGAGAATAGGACCCTGGTATTTTGCTCAGTTGTGCGAGATTGTGAAAGGCAATTAAAACCTTTGTTTGTGATATGAGGCAGAAAACATTTCAAAATGAGAATTTGGTAGTGATCTTTACGAAAAGTAATAAATTATTTTATTTCAAACCTAAATAATTACATTTGAACATGTATCTCCTAGAGAGAATAGCAGTGCAGTTTTTCATTACCGGACAAACATATTCAAATGACAGGATATGTCTGCTATCAGCCATTCGACAAGCATTTATTGAGTTCCTATTCATTGTATTCTGGCCCCTGCGGTACAGAAATAAATAAGCACTGTTCCTTCTTCTTAAATAGCCTATAACCCTGCATCTACCACCCAGCAACAGCAGTAGACGGCTTAACCTTATTTTGGGAGAAAGGAATCAAAGATACGGTGGCCTATTTTGAGAAAAGGTGTGATTCATCTGGGAAGCAAGAAGTGACAATACCACTCAGCTCTCCAGAGCAGGAGACCTGCATGGATTCGGGACTGGTGGCCCGCAGTGCCCCCCGCTCAGACCCCGGCTCACTCAGTCAGGGAGATCCCCGCCCAGACGCATCTGAGAGCATGTGCAGGGCACTGTGCACGCTGCTACACGGCATGAAAGTGGTCTTTAAAGAATAGGAAGGGCAATTTCATGACTCGAGAAGTATGGAATTCGACCAAGGGAGACGCCGTAGCAAGATGTAATGCTTGCTGACAGGGGGAAACTCACTCAAAATGTGAAGATAATAGGAAACTTGGGGACAGGAACCATCACTTCCCCGGACTTGGCATCGGAATCGAGGGCTACACTGAGGCACTTCACAGGGAACACTGGGAGGGTGAACTACAGAGAGAACCGTCCTCCTGAAAACAGTTTATGAAGGTGTATCTGTTGGTGGAAAGGCTTATTAAATATAAATAACTCCTGAGTAAGATGACTGTGAATGAAAAAGAGGTGATATGTGCCTCCATGGGAAACTGATTTAAAAGAATACCTCCAGAAAATATTTATAAAAAAGAAGAAAAACAGGAAGTCAAAAAGGAAGCCAAAGGCTAAGTTGATCTCGTCATTTTTAAAAAATTGATGTGCAGATAGGCTGACCTGTCTGTCGGGGTCGCACTGCTGGTGGGCAAACCTAGACTCTGACACCAGCTCTTATATTATAACCACAAGAGCCCATCGGTCCTGTTTTGCTGCAGACAAGGGGATATCACTTAGCAGGACACATTAGAGACCTAACTGTACTTCTCTACGTTCAAAATCAACTTCCCCCTCCCTCACCCCAGCAACAAATAGATCTAAGTGTTCTTACTACCACTTTGCTTAAGGGAATACCCAAATAGTTAACCTACTGTTTCAACCACTTTACTCTAGGAGTTCTATACTTAGAAAGTCCAACTAAATAAGACCCTTTACTGTCTAATACTTACTGTCTTCCAGTGAGCCTCAGAGGATATAAAATCCAACAGCTAAAAGGAATTTGGTTTGCCAGGTATTAAGTTATCTCTACATCTTTCTTACGGAGTTGTAAATTCTGCTCACTCCTCCACCTCCTACTCTCCCCTTCTGCCCCCAATTCCCCAGACTCCCAACGCACACATTCAACTCGCAGGACACAACGGGGCGGGACAGAGCGGGCCCTCAGGGGGAGAGCTTTTTCTTTCTGGTCTTACAATAGATAAGTGAATTTCCTGAATTATAAATTAAGCCTTTGGAGATATAAATAGAAGAGGGGAGAGCTGCTGAGAGAGATGACACTCTCTTCTTCTCACTCAATAAGTACTTCATAACTCACCGGAGGCCGGCAAGCTCCATGTAATACATTAATGCACAGGCTTGAGAAGAATGTCGATAGCCCCCTTTGCCTACAGATTAAAAAGAAAATACCCCATGGGAATATAATGGATTCATCCCAAAGTTGCTGAGTTTCGATAGATAAATAAATAGGAAAAAAAGACAAAGGTACACATAGGCCAAATTCATACATATTCTATACCTGCACAATGCATTTTTATATTCTGAAAAGAAACGTCTCATGAATAGTACCTTAGTTGAATTTTTAATACTTTAGAAAATCTAGCACGCAATGCATTATATAGATGATGTATCATAAAAGTGTACACTTGAAACCTATATAATTTTATCAACCAATGCCATCCTAATAAATTTAATTTAAAATTTTTAATCTAGCTAGTATAACATTTGAGTGTCATTTAGCCTTATCTTTGCCTAATAAAAGAAGGCTAAAAAAATACGTGTGGCAAATAGACTAGGTTCTAAGTGCTCCTCTGGGTTGTCTAGACTAAGGAGATTGAAAAATGTCATTGGAACTAAGTGAAGTATCACCACCAAAACTGTCACCTCCAAGGAAAAAGAAAAGCAGTAATCAATCATCTCCCACCCCACTAAGTAAGTACATTTGAATTGCAGAATGCAGCTGCTCCCATCAATTCCAATGCAGCTGTCTTTGTCAGTACAGTGTACCCATTAGGAATAGTACCCGAGTAATTTGGAAGAGTTACTGCAATTCCAAGACTCATGCGCTACAGATTTTACCACCCAAGTGATAGGAGGTACTGATTTATTTTTCACTATGTTTCCTCTGTCTCTGCTTCCTCAGGTAATATATTCTCCTACTTAGCCATTTTTCTCTTTCTCTTTGGAATTTACATGAAACCAATCGGTATTTTAAAATGGCAATTCTTTTTGTGCACATAAAAATTACAAGGTTCACGTGACTGACTCATTAAAAAGTTATCTTACAGTATACATGAGTTTGCTGATAACCTGATTCATTCCGACTGCATTGAAAATGAACTTAACATCTCCCACACTCCATTTTATTTTTCAAAACTGACATTTAGTAAATTAAATAGATTATCTGGATATATTAAAATAAAGGACTAAAGGCTTTACTAACTTTCAGGTGGAAGAATAAATGTGAGGAGGATCCTTTGAGGATATATTAGATATTTTAACCACAATTACCAAGTTGTTGTTTTTTTCTATCCTCACCCGAGGACATTTTTTCACTTTTTGTTCAGATAGAGTGGGAGGGAGAGAGGGGAAGAGACAGAGAGAGAGAGAAACATCGACATGAAAGGGACACATCGAGTGGTCGCCACCCGCACAACCCAACCAGGGCTGGGGACAAACTGCAACCGGGGTACGTGCCCTTAGCGGGAACCGAACCCCGGTCTCTCTGGACTGCAGGCTGATGCTCTAACCACTGAGCCAAACCGGCCAAGGCCAATTACCAAGTACTTTTATGGTCTAACTCTCTGGTAGACCCTTCACTGTTCAATGAACATCCCTCTAATATCACTGCCTTAATAAAATAAAAAACAAAACAAAAACATGTCATTTGGTCATAAGGAGAGAAGCAGTTGGTCTTCTTTGGTATAATCCCTCATTCTTCATAAGTATAGCTAACGTTTTATTGTTATTGTTAAATTTTATTTTGAGTTCTCTGTATACAGAAACACAGTCAAATGGTTGCCTTCCTCTTTTCCATTCCCATTCTCTATTATTAGGGCTTCCTTCAGGGAATACCTGTTAATAGTTGAGGGGTTCTGTATTAGTAAGCCTTTGAAATATGGTATCATTCATTAAGCTGATTATAATGTTATCTATGTCTTTGTTTAAATGTACAACATGGCAGGGCTAAAAAAATATTAAAGCTTATTAAATTGTTACACCAACATATTAATTAATTTTTTTTAGTAATAGCACAGCCTAGTAATTAAGAGCAAAAGCCTTAGGATCAAAACCAGATTTAAATTCTGAACCTGCTATTTGCTAAGTAGGTGCCCTTGACCAAGTTCCTCGTCTGTCACCCAGGGTTAACGCCAGTGCCTTCTTTAGGGCACACATCAGACATCCGCCGTCAAAGTGAGACCAGCATACGGGCACTGAGCACATTGCCTGTCACTGTCATAGTCGTTATTTAGGGCTATGATCGTTACTGGCATTCCGATTTGCATTATTATTCAAATATTAGCTCTGTGATTTACATATATATTTTATCACACATTCTTAACTGTACCTATACCAGTTTTATTCACAAGCTCATAATTCAGCACATTGTTTAGTGCCTCGTTGAAATTCAATACATTACGGTCAGTAATGCAGTACATACATCCACCCCAAGAACATGCAGACACGCGTATGAATTCTTCCGACTGGATGCATATATCTACTGTTCGAGCAACTTTATTTTGAGTCCTGTAATTAGAAAGTCAAGGGAAATTAGAGCTCCACATTTCTGATACTTACTCTGCCTTCCGGTGTGTTTCATTTCTGAGAATTTGTCACTTAGCCAAGGTATTTGCACATCTTCCGTATGGAACTGTCCAGTCTGCCCACCCTGCTGGCCCCTCACAATGACCGACGCAGTGACTGCGTGTTTACAAACGGTGCCCTGAGGACACTGCCAGGCTCGGCGTGGGCTCCACGGTACACGGGACACGCACACCGGCGGTCCTGGGAACCGATGGGCGTTTCTAGGACAGGGCACATACCTGCACTCAGAAAAGGTGAGTTGTCTTTTCCGCTCACACCGTCTGGGGCCGAACATTCACACACCAGTGCACACTGGGAAAGAAGCAAAGAAAAGGGAAAACATTTGAAAGTAATCAAAATAAGAAACTTATTTTGTTTGGAGAACATGGGGCTGTGCACATGGTTTTAAAAAGTTCTGAACCAGATATTTTGGTAAAACTGTTTTCAGCTTTATCTTTACCATGAAACCTGCTTAACTTGTGATGATTTACATAGAACATGATTGTATTATATAATTATAGACTACACTTCAGATCTAGGTAAGAACCACTTAGGAAAGGAAGTAAAACATGGGAAGGGATTGTCCCCGAATGTCCCTAGGACAGCAAATCATATTTGACAAGCTGAAGGATTTTGCTTTCCAGACAGCTGGGATGACTATGAATCAATAATAAAGCAAATCATTTTCTAGATTTTGAGTAAAGGCAACTTTACATAAAAATAAAATATGTGGTGCCCTGGCTGATTTGGCTCAGCGGTTAGAGCGTCGGCCTGCGGTCCAGAGAGACCCAGGTTCGGTTTTCGCTAAGGGCACGTACCTCGGTTGCAGTTTGTCCACGGCCCTGGTTGGGTCGTGCAGGTGGCAACCACTCGATGTGTCCCTTTCACGTCATTGTTTCTCTCTCTCTCTCCCTCCCACTCTATCTGAACAAAATAAATAAATAAAAAATAAAATAAAATATGTGGTGGCATCTAATTACATAAGGAGACAGGAGAGTTTTGTCTCCAGCAAAACAAAGCAAACATTTGCTCACTGCCTGTGAGGACACTTTAGAAAGGAGCTGATCCAGAGATGGGAAGGAGGTGAGCCTTTGCAGAGTGACACGTCTCTGGACAGAAGAGAGAGAGCAGCCCAGACATCCTGTTAGCAGCCCGGACTGTCCTCCAGCTCCCATGACACTGTCACTAACCGAGGAAGCGAAACCCTTCTGGCTCCAGGAAGTTGACAAGAGACCTATCTGCACATAACACCAGCGTTTGTTTCTTCAAAGGAGTTTCCTTCTATCTCTAGCCAAAACACAAAAAATCAGGCTGGGGGAAGGAACAGAAGGGAGAAATATGTCAACCATGAACAAATAAATGCAGATAAAAAGAAAACAAACAAAACCCAGGAAGCTCTTTTGGTGATGAGTTCCAAGGGGAACAGCCACCCTTCTGGGGTGCGCAGGGCTCTGCTTGGGAGGCGCCAGGGCCTCGGACCCTCCCCAGGAGAGTACGCCCCAATTGCCTGGGCTATTCCCTAACTGGCCTGTCTGTCTCCCTCCGCTCTGCCTTCCTCAGGCACTGGCCCCTCTGAGAATCATGACCACTGCCCCTTAGGCATTTTGGGATATTTGATCCTTGATTTAAATGTTGCCTTCTGTATTCTTATAGTTCACTACTTATTCCTTGCATTACTAGAAAATTTTACTTGATGGGGAAAAAATGGGCTCTCACAATTTCTTTTTTTAAATATATATTTTTAAACCTCATTCAAGGACACACTTTTTTTTTTTTTTTTTACTGATTTGAGAGAAAGAGATCAACATGAGAAAGAAACATCCATTGGTTATTGATTGCACCCCGACCTGGGATCAAACTCACAACCTGGGTGTATGCCATGACCAGGAATGGAGCCCGCCACCTCTCAGTGTCAGGATGAAGCTCCAACCCACGACCCACTGCCAGAGCACGCTCTCATACTTAGGTCCTAGTTTACTGAAAGAGTGAATGGCTGCGAACAGCTCTTAACATCTGATGTTCTCTAAATCTTTTCCTGACAAACCAGAAGTCAGAGGAGACCCCTTCTTTTAATTCACAACTACTTTGGAAACACACTTCCTAAACCATTAGAGTAATGTGCAGTGATGCTTGAACACCCTTAAAATCCTTTATTTTTCTTATTTCCAATTTCCTCTACTCCTTTCCAGCCTGCATTGGGCTGTTAAAAGGATCTTTCACAAGCATTATGGTCATCATATCAATGTTCTGTCCTAGAGTGTACAATAGTGACCTGCTGCCCAGTCAAATCCTCTATTCTCCGACTGGACTTCACATCCTTGCCTGATTTGTCTCTGATATCCTTCCATATAATAACTAAGCTTATAGCTATAGGTCACCCTCCTTTCTAAAAAAGATCACCATCTACAGTATAAGTCATAGGAACAGTTCAGATGGGACTCTTATTGAAGGTATTTGTTATTCATAGGGATCAGGCTGTAACCCTGAGAAACGGCTTCCCTAGGTGAAGGAGACCCTGCTTTCTGTTTCCTAACCCAAAGCCTGCATTACTTAACAAATAGATGCAGAAATACGATGTTCATACAGCCATCATTCCCATCCACACCGGAAGGCGGATACTTAGGACCATTTTAACCTAATAGCATTCTTCTTTTGCCGTTTCTGTCTTATACTTTAAAATTCTACCATTAAAAATGACCTCAAGACTTAAATCCATAAAACATAAACAGAAAATATCCAATAAACGTTTACTAAATTAACACTTTCGTATTTGAACTTGGTAATTATTTTCTTCAACTTCCCCGAGTGTACCGTCTGTCTCTGTTTAGATGGAAGGTTTTTTTGAAGCAAAGGACCATACTTATTTTCTTAGCCTTTTTTTTTTTTTTTTTTACACTTGACTGTAGAATCATTTACACTGTGCTGGGTGCTACAGAGAATGCAACAATTAAACAAGATGTGGAATCTGTACTTAAGGAGGAATCTGTACTTAAGGAGGCTTCAGCTATATATGCTGTTCATTGCTATTACGATGATGGATATTTGCAGAGACACACTTACATGGTGTGTGCCCTCAACGTAACGATTGTCCGCTTGTGACTCTGAGCGGGAATAACGAACATCCGCACTTTGGTAGCACATGTAGCACCGTACCCCTACTGCTTCTGATGAAGACTTTAAAGGTACATTTAATGGTAACTGTGGCTAAGGAGAAATAACAAGATATGGAAAATGCTTGCAGCTTAATGATTTTAAATATCAACTAACTTATCAGTTTGCCATGCATTGGGCTAGAAAATTAGCCACATTGTAAGAACAGTGATCACAAAGCTCTGTAGGAATCCACCCAAGACCAACACGTCTTGGCGAAACACTTAGTTTACTCCTTAAATGGTTCTTTCCATTCGGTAGGAGGCTCCTGGAAGCCCCTGATAAGGTTTGTCTTTGCATCCTCAGTAATGTCTAGCAAGGGCGAAAATGAAATTATTTTCATAGTAATACTAAAGCATTATTTGTCTGTTTTTCCTCTCTTTCTCTTACAAGCACCTAGGGGAATTTTCCAGAGCAGATAGGACATATCATTTGACAGCTAATGGAATGTGCGCTTGTGTACTTTTATTTCAAATATCTCTTGTAAGAACTTCTAATATGATAAATGTCTACAGATATAACCCAAATATGTAAAGTCTCTAATAAAGTAAATATCAATAGGTAAAATCCACATAAATATAAATTTTAGAAGTATAAAATATGAGAAGGTCTATGGTTTTGTGATCTCATTCAGTCTCAAGGTTTAAATATTATCCAAATACCATCTGATGATTCACGAATATATCATTCTGGCTTGGACATCTCAACTGAATTCCAGACTCAAACCTCCGAATGCACGTGTACATCTGCGCTTTGAAGTCTAAGAGGAATGTGAAGTTTAACATTTCAAAATCTCCGGTCCTCTCCAACCTGCCTCTCTCAGCTTTCCTAGCCACAGCAAACGGTCGTTAGTCTTCGGCTGTCCTTGGCACCTGGAGACTGGTCATGTTTTATTTTATCCATTAATACTTCCCTGGTCCGATTCGGCTTCATTTCTACCCTGCATGTTTGCAATCACCAAGCTCTCCTGTCCTGCCTCCTTTCAGGCCATAATCAACACAGCAGCCAGCATGAATTAAACATGAATCATCTCAGTTCATACCTCCACCCGAAATTCCTCAACCGTCTTTCCATCGAGCCCAGAGCTAATGGCCTAGCAGGCACTGCACAGGCAGTCTTCCCTGGGCATGCTCCCTGCCCTCCACTCCTCCCACTGGCCTCCTCGACCCCGCAGTGCCAGTCCCACTGGCCTCCTCGCCGTTCCTTCAATACGACATGCATGCAGCCACCTCAGGGCCTTTGCTCTTGCTGTTCATGCTACCTAGAATTCTTGTTCCTTCAGATACCCACATGGCTTGCTCCCTTATTTCCTGCACATTTCAGCTCAAATATCACATTACCAGTGAATCTCTCCTTGTCCATCTAGTATAAAATAGCCATATCCCAGCTGCCCCTTGTCCTTGAACTCTGTCTTATTATTTCCTACAGCACATAGCACTATCTGAACATAGAAGGCAGGATTGTTTGATGAATGAATAATGACTATTATATGAGTGCAAATCATCCCATAAGGTAAGTAAGGTCAGTGATGTTACTCTCAATTTTATGTTTGGAGAAAATATATTTGAGACTAGTCCTTAGCTACCCAAGGACTACATTTTCCCTTATCACGGCTGAAGAAAGTTCACTTAAAACACCACTTCAAAGTGTGGAGGCAAAACAGCCTGAGAAGGACAGTTGGTCATCAAAATACTAGTTAGACAGGTTCATGGTCCAAAGGAGATGCATTATGATTCCACTTCTTTGCCACTGTCATGAAGAAGTAAGGCACTGTCCTTCCTGTGGTAGAAATCATCACCCCTTTGCCCTGTGCCACCTTCAGATGTAATGTAACCACTAAACACAAGGCAGGGACCGAGGGGAGCTCAGCTCCTGCAAAGCCCCCGTGAGGATGCCGCCCGACACGCCTCCTGCTGACCAGAAGCCCAGGCGGTCCTGTGGCAAAGGGGTGGACTGTGTCTGGCTCCCTGGAGCTGTTGCTGCTACTCACGGGGGTCTTCTCAGCTGTCACCTGATTTGATGACTTTACTTCCCACTTCTCCTTTCCCTAGTAGCATTTTTTTTTCTTGCTACTTAATTCAATGGTAAAAAAAAAAAAAAAAAAAAAAAAGTCTCCCTTTCCCTTCATAATCCTACATTCTTCACCACACCCTTACTCCATC